TCCAGGCTAAGCTGGGCCCTGAGAGGAGACAGGGAAAGGGGAAGGAGGAGGGGGAGAGGAAAAGGTAGGAAGAGGGAGCGAGAGAGGCACCAGAAGCCAAGAGGCCAAGAGCAAGCCAGGAGACCAAGAGACCACATAGCCAAAGTGACTGAGGTTGTTTAGGAATCAGAAAAGCTGGGGAAAGGGGATGGAAGCTTAGGTTAGAGAGGGTCAGGGTGAGAAGTACTGAGAGGAGTCAGGACTCTAACAGGTATTGGTCATGTTGGCTGGCAACCAGTCTACTTTGATATATTAAGTAGGTACCTGTGTTAGCCATTTGTCATGAGTTTGAGACCCAACATTATTTTTCACATAGACAAAATAAAAACATTATATTTTTGCCAATAGTGAGGACTGGCTAAATAAAATATGGCATCCTTGAACTATGGACTATTAGGTAGCTGCAAGTATCATAAGTGTGTGTCCTAACAGTGATAGAGTTTCTTGTGAATTTGGGTTAAAAGGACTGCTCCAGAATTATCTGCAAAGTTCAGTGTGATCTTATTTGGGGATTTATAAATGCATGTCAGCACCAGCCTAATTGTGTGCCTGTCTGTGTATGTTTGTATAATTTCTTTGAAATCTGGCTACAAGCTTTGTGTGAAACCATGTAACTTTGGTGATACGGGGCAGCCTTAGGCAGAATGGTCAAAAAGGGTGGCTGTGCTATGTTCAAACTCATGGTTTGTAGAAGGGGAATGTGTTTTCGACCTGTTGATACACACGGTCTGTACATTCTGGAAAATCTCACAGAAGGCCAGCATGTAGATGAGATCTGTCCCTTTCTGGACAGTTGATGGCAGGCATCAAGCCTGCCAGTGAGCAGGCCAAACCATGGAATGCACACTAGCCCTTCCTCAGATCCGGCAGGTACAGCCAGTCACGTCAGGCAAAAGGACTCCCGAGTTCATAAGGCGCGTACTGCTGGAAGGGCAGGAAGGATGTCCTTATCACACAGGTCAAAGTCCATTCTCCACTGTGGAAAGAACTGAAGAGTGAGGGTTCCCTGCTGGAGAGAGCACTCACTTGCTGTACAAGTGTGAAGTCCTGAGTTTCCATCTCCAGCCGTGTTTCTCCGAAGTCTCAGGAGTGGGGCTAAGGGATGTGGTGTGGAGGCAGGAGAATCACTCAGGCTTGCTTGCTTAGCTGGAAACTGGTAAGCTTCAGGTTCAGTGAGAGCCCTCCTCGAGGGAACAAAGAGGAAAATGATTGGACGGGGTACCTGGTGTGCCCACTTGGCCTTTGCACATCCACTGGCATACACTCTACATGTCCCGCTGAGCCACACCCCTGCACTCCTGACAATACCCCCAAGACTCTTAAATTTATACACACGCTACCCCATGTCTCCCGTAGTACCAAACACTGAATAGATAGAAAGGTTCATAGGTGTGGTGCCAGGTGATGCTAGGTGAGAGTTGCATACACCATTCTTTTTATTTGCACCCCCCACCTCACACCAAATGGACAAATCAGTCTTCAAGTGTCCATTGTACAAGTTGGGAATAGTACATGTTTTTCTGAAGCGGTCTGCTGGGGCGGGGCGGGGGGGTTCACACAGCCGTTCAGTGTGAATACTGAGATGACTGAGCACCACTGTGCAGATGTGTTAGATGAACTTGCACACAGAGCTGTCCGGGGGCAGTTGGTGGTATGTGCTGTTGGATAAATATAAGCTGCTGCTGTCCTGCAGGGACAGGAGGAAAATGAAAGATTTATGAGGAAAGCTAGCTTCCCTTCTAAAAGCACACCTCTGAATTCTTTTGTATATTGTATATTTTCTTTGTCTTCCCAGTCCTATGGGTGATGGTTGCTCTTAAAGCAATTGGATATGATTTGAAACTAAGAATTTTTTATTAATTGGTTGCTATTCCTTGGAATAAAAATGAAAAAAAGATTAACAGTGGAAGGATATTAAAAGTGCAATTTGCTCATTTATTACATGAGCAGTTTCGGTTTTATGGAGAGGTAGGCATCATATTAAGGTCCAACTATTTAGCAAGATGTATGAATGATTAATATATGAGAAATTGTGAATTTAATACCCGTCCAAAACTTGTTAGAATAAATGATTTTTATGTTTCCATTAGGTTTTGTGATGGGAAATAATATATTTTATGTAAAAGAAAATCCACATGCTTCTACTTCTTACACTTGGCACTGGATTCCTCTATTACATTTTGAACCCTTTATCTTTAACTGCCTAGGTAATGTGTTGTAATTGAATATATGCTCACATCAATAGCTTCTGTTAGCCAGTGTCCTGTGGATTCTGCTGACATTTTCTGTACATTAGGTGACTGGGCATGGTAATAATGAATCTGCCTAGAGGGCCAGGACTTCTCTTAGAAGGAGTGACAGGGTTGGGGTTATACCTCAAGGGTAGAATACTGCCTTACTATGCAGGAGACACTGGGTTCCAGTCCCAACAAGACAGATAAGAAGGGTAGGATAGATAGAGATAAGAAAAGGAAAAGGAGATACTCCAGGAAGGGAGACCAGGAGACTATCTGATCCAAAAGAAAGAAGGTGTACTTATCGTGATGTAGGGAGGAGAGGAAGGAGGAGGGGGAGGGGGAAGCAGTGAAATTCTAGTCTAGGCCTGTGTGTGAAAAGGGACTAAGAGCTACAATGTACATGTAAGTGGTGTTTCAGAGCTGGGTGTGGGGTGACACCACAGGGCTTGAGGATCTACCACGTCATTTCAGAGAAAGGGGAATAGTATTTTAAATCTAGAATGTGTGCTAAAGATCTGGGAACACAATGCCGGTTAATTCTTCAGGAAGTAGCTAAGATTACGGTGGAAAAAACTAGAATGATGTTAAAATAAAATGAAAACCAAAGTGAGGTGACATGATTTCCGTCATGTTGATTGACAGAGATAAACACAGTTGATAAATACCACATCCGTAAGCAGCACTATCAAAGACCTTTATCAGCTCATGCTGCTATCTGCAGTCATGTCATTGGAAATAGATTTTGAGAACTCTTTGGGAAGCAGTTGGTCAGTTTCCAGAGAGAGAGAGAGTGAGAGAGAGAAGAAATACACATTCTTTTCTCTCAGTGACCCCATTTCAGGGAATTTACCTTCTGGGACTATCCCTCCCAACCTCCAATACCTCACTGAGGTTCATGTCTGCAAAGACTCCCTGGGCTGGGGTGAGACTTGACCTCAGTGCCCATCACTAGGAGGTTTGACATGAGACCTGTTTGTGTAATGGGGAATACGCAGACATACATAGGACAGAAGGTCACCCCACGTGCTCATCTGCATGACTCAGTCTACACATGGAGTGAAAATTCTGTGTCTGCCGTGGTCTAGAGGAACTGTTAGCATGGGTGGGTAACTTGGGAAGTAGGTGCCAGAGAGAATTCTTTGCATTTTCTTTTGCTGCAGAGTCGCCTTCTCTTCCAGCCTTGGCATGGACTCTCTGATGTCTTAGAATGCTGAAATGTGTGAGCCAGCATAGTCTGAAAGTCTTTGATGCTTATTTCAGTTGTTTTGTGATCTTAGAATTTTTTAAGGCAATGGCAGGTTTTCTAGGACTAAAAGGATCTTTCTGTTCTTTGCCATCAAGGAAGGTCAGTTTACTTCAGGCATTGGAAAGGTCTTCTTTACTCTTTGTTTTCGGGGGTGCATGGGTATGTGGGAGCACTGGAATTGAACCCAGGGCCTTGCAATTGTTAGAGAACATGCTAACATGGAACTACATGCCCAGGCCTGTGTTTTGTTCTGTGACTGACAGGTGCTTAAAGTCACACGTGTTTTCCTCTTGAGGGGTGACTTTTTTGTAGCTTGTTACAGGTTGTAGTAGAGTAACACAAAAGGGCTTTTCTGTTTATTGAATTTGAAGTTTATTGTTTTTGCCAAGGGAACAATATTTCTATTTAAAGATGTTATTGATTACATGGTGTGTGGTGTCAGTTTAAAAGGCACTGCTGTATTAAAATGCAGTATTTTTAATGAATGCAGAGGATTGAGAGGATGAGTATGTGTTGGCAGGGATAGAGACTGCGATTTAAGACGTTATTTTAGGAAGACTTTATGCCAGTGTATATGTGTGTGTGTGTGTGTGTGTGTGTGTGTGTGTGTGTGTGTGATATGTCTATACATGCATGGGTTCCTTTGAACAAGGAGGGGGGGCTCAGCCTAAGATTCTGTTCTTCAGTCAGTCCCTATCTTATTTTTGAGGCAGAATCTCGCTGGCTGGGGTCCTGTGTATTAGGCTGGGCTGGCCAGCCCGGGAGGACAGGGACCTGCCTGCCTGTCACCCTGGTGGAGCTAGACTTTCAAGAGCAGGCCACTGTGGCTTTTGACATGGGTCCCCAAGCTTGGACATCACTTCATTGACTAGACTGTCTCCCCACCCTGTGGAATATGCATTGGCTTTGCCAGGGATGCCCAGAGAACAGACCTTTTCACACCATTCTGTACTGAGGGTTCCGATTCCCCTCATTCTTAGGTGGTCAAAGCAAACGTGAGATCACTGATGGACTTTTTTTCTTTTTTAAAGTGATTGATAGATATATTCTGCAAACCTGAATTAGCAATACAAAAGCATAAAAGGGTACAGAAATGTAAAAACAAGTGATGAAGAAATTTCTTGTTGCACGCAAAAAAAAAAAAAAAAAAAAAAAAAACCTGTAGGAAATAGGAAAGTTTGATCACTGTTTGATCACTGTTTAAATACAACTGCTGAAACTGACTTGGTCAAACCTATACACTAGCTTTTAATATACTGTAATTAATTATGGGCAAAAACAAGTCATTCTGGACTCCTCAGCACTTGAATGCATGTGCAAATCCGTATTCACACTTGGACTGCCTTCTCTCTATTTAACTTCCAGTTTCAGATGCCAGAAGTCGAAGCCTGACACATTTCTTTGGGTTTTATGTGCACAACCACCACAAGACAGTCAGAGACTGCTGGTGGGATCTAAGCCCGTAAAGTAAGGGAGATAAAAATATGGAACGCTTCACAAATTTGCACGTCTCCTTGCGCAGGGGCCATGCTAATCTTCTCTGTATCGTTCCAATTTTAGTGTCGTGCTGCCAGCCAAGCACCTGACGGGCACCTTAATCACGCATTTATCACAAACCTAACCGTATGCTCATTTCTAATGGGAGCCTCTGAGCTCCCTTTCAGGATGCCTTTTTACTGAGGGCTGTTCGTGCCCATGGGGCCCCATGCTTTGGTGTGTACGTGCACCACAGAGTGCGTAGCTCCACCAGTAAACATGTCTGCAGTGGAAATGCCTGAACTCCTGTGCCCTTTCAGGGGAGAAACTCTCCCTTTCTAGCTCTTTCTGGCAACACAGTGGCTGCGAACAGTTTTTTTGTGAAAGGTGATGTTGGCTTCTGTCCCATGCACGAACAGGGTCCCTGTTGAAATCTCACTATTTTCCTACCTGAAACAGTCTTGGGACCTGAAAGCACCGAGTTTATGTGCTTTAATATTCTCTCCAGATGGTGAAGAGGAAGGTGGAGTCTCGCTGGGCCTGGGGAGGGTATGTCAGAGGGACAGGTTTTGTTGGGGTCAGGACACAACTGTCTCCAAATATGGTAGTGGCGTGTATATGACAACACTGTGAAGGGAAGGTCGCTCCTGGGTTCTCTCACCTTATCCCAGCAGCAGATGGGGGACCTAGGAAGGAGTCTCTTGAGAGATTTTATACTGTGTAGTTTGACTGTATTTGCTGCTGCTCCTATCCTCATTTTTTTCCCAGACCCACTCTCTGTCTTCCATGATTTCTTGTCCTCTTCAAAAAACAAAGTACAAACAAACAATAAAAACTACAAGGGAACTACCATATATATGTGAACCATTGAGGTGGTTCTTCCTTACCCAAAGCTGTCAACTGTCAGAGGCCCTTCCCTCGGGGGTGGGCACTCATAGGCCCGCCTCCTCCCATGCTAGAATGTTAATGCAGTTGATCTTGTGCTGACTGTCAAGCTGCCCATGAGTACTGGAGTGTGTCAGTCCTATCCTGTTCTAGAGACATTGGGTTTTGCTCTGGTCCTCCCTGAGCTCTGCCTGATGTATGTATGTGTTTTCCCATTTGTGGCTAAACACTTCATTTGATGCTCTGTGTACTCTCACCACTTATGGGGGGGAAGGGCTTTTTAAAATCTATAAAAAGGTGCCGTGGTCCGGTGTCTGGCTGGAGGAGGTCCAACAGCTAGGATTCTTCCTACTTTGGTCTTCTCAGTTAACACTTTTTCTGTCAGAACTACCCAACTTTGCCTTTAGAGCCTTACAGATAGTATGTAAATGACTGGGCGGGGCAGTGTGCCCATGAAACTTTATTTACATCAGCACACACAGTGGATTGGGTTTGTTGGTAGTGATGGACAACTGTGTGCCAGATCCCCCTGGCCCACAAAGCTGGGCAAGTTAGATTTGCCCCATGGGCTTGGACTTCTCATACCAGGAAGGATCCCCCCAACTTCTGGTTATATGGATTAGGTGTTGATATTTTACTATGTTACAAATGGATTCTGAGAAAATTTTAAACTCGGTTAATTTAAAACATTATTAAGACCATAGCCTGTTCCCACAAAAGGCCTATTTTTATGAGAAATAGTTATTTTCCAAACCAAGAAATATTAATCCGGAGAGTGGCTATATGCCTTTTTTAACATCCAGTTCAGCAGACAGATGTTGTTTGCACTCAGTCTGTGCTGGGGTTAAAAGTCGTGTAGTCTTTGGAACTGTCCCCTTTGTGTCACTGAAATCATCTTAGGGACTCCTGGGGCTTTGGTAGGGACTGCATGTTGAGAATGTCCGTTCTCTAGATGTCATGGATGAAAATTAATTTACCTGGCAAATGCCATTTCAAAGTTCTTTTGTCATCCCTTTCTGACCGTGGTGCTGTCTAGCCCCACATGTGCGGTAAAGGGCATTTAGTCCTGCGGTAGGAGCCGTGAAAGAAGGCTTGCTGTATTTTCTGAGACAATTGTCACCTTAGCTGAAATTGGCTCTGCCTACATCACAGTAGCATTTTACTACAGTAGAGAAACCAAAGCTAGGCCGGAGTCTGAATTCACTGGAGTAAAAGAGAGCTGCCTCTGCACAGGAGAGTGCTGGGGATGACAAAGGCTCTGCAAAGAATGATTTGCATCGAGTTGGAGAGGCTGAAACTCTCCCAGAAAATTGGGTTACATACAAAAGGAGGCTGAGCCTTGGAGTGGCTGCTTTTCCAGGTGACTTTGGGATTTTCAAGAGCCACTGTCTCATAGAGGGCTTTTAAGGGCCCTTGAAATCCAGGGGTCAAAGAGCTTTGGAAGTTTGGAGTGGGGTAGGATACACATTTAGCTTCTTTCTCATTTGGTCCTAACTTAGTGAGGAGGGATTTTCCCATCCTGCCCCTCCTTCTGCCTCTCTCTGCCTCCGTGGATTTTCTTAAGCTCCCTGGAGCTGACTTTCCAAACAAGAAGTAAGTCAGCTCACAGGTCCCCAAGGCCATGCTGTGAGATCTCGCTACAACCCTTTCGTGTTTTCCCACACAGAAGAGCAAAATTATTTTTAGCTGAATCTGTTTTGTTCTTAGGTACTTGCAAGTACACAGAAGGGGGTGGGGTGCAGTTGCAAATCAGTTGAACATGTTCAACAGTGGGATTTTGCATAGGTCTGACTAGATGGAAATGAATTAAAGTCATCCAGCCCAGTGCCGACGCTTGTACCTAATTGTCTCTCTTTATATTTAGCACAACTTTAAAGGAAACTTAAAACTAAATTGGGTTTCGTGAATTCCCCGGTTGCTTATTTTTATTACCTATTATAACATATTTCTGTTTAATTTTCTTCTTCGAGCCGTGATCCTTCAGTGAGCCTCCAACTGTATTTGGAGAATGGCGATGTGAACTTGAGTGTCTTTGGACTTTCAAATTCGGGTTGGGTATCGGGGAGAGGCTGACTGTTAACCTTGTTCTAGAATGTTCACAGTTTGAGTTTTTATCTTCAGAATTCAGGGGACATACCTGTTGTTGTTGCTGTTTTTTTTTTTTTTTCCCCATACTGCTGCGTCATTTCCATTCTGCATATACGCCCCTTTCCCCACTTACGACATCTGTGACTTTTATACTCCACAGGAAATATATATGAGCCCTCCTAACCCCTTTGATCACAAACAAATGCTCATTCCGATCATTACAGCTCCAGCTGTAGGCTCTGCTTCCACACAGGGCACGCTGCCCTGCTTCGTATGGAATCCCAGCAATTAGGGAAGAAGTGATGGCAGTAGGGTAAGACTCCAGGGTCTCTGGAAGCACAGGCAGTATGAGATTTAGCAGTGGTGCTCGTCCAGGCCCCCCCCCCCCCCCACTGGCCCCTTTGTTCTGTTTACTGCTAGCTACATATTTCTTCCTGTGTGTTCCCTAGCATTCTACCATCACGCCATATGGGCCTTCTCTCTGGTGATTAATCAGGCTGCATGCTGGGCTCTCTGATTCACCGGGGACTGTGTTTGCTCATGATCTTGTCAGAACATGCAGAACAGCCGTGTGATGCTTCTCACATTTGCACTCACTGCTAACCAGGCATCTGAGAACTCAGCCGCACACTGGATGGAAGACAAGGGAGGCCGATATGCTGTCTCGCTTCCCAGATCTCTGCTAGGCTGCGTTGACGAGGGCCAGGCACATTGGCTTGTTGCTCTTAGGCCTCTAATTTTGTGTTAAAATAATGATAATAATAAGAATGCTGTGTCCCCCCCCCCCTTTGTCCCAAAGTTGGGGCATTAAAGAACCCTCAAATCCACTGGCCAATTCATACCTCTTACAATGGGTTAATGAAAAGGAGTTGAGATCTGTTTTTAGGACTTGCTATCACTATAATGATGGTGAGGGAAATAATAACAGCCTGGGTGCTTTCAGAAGCCAAAACACAACAAACAGAGTTACAAACCTAATTGGCTTTTATTCACAATTTAGGAACCAGGGCAGTCTCCGTCCTGCAGAATAGAGAGCACTTCCACTGGGCCTGAGGCCCAATAGCAGGCTTTATAAGGCAGGAACAAGAAAACAGAAACAACAATTTTCAAAAGCAGAGTTTCTCAGCAGGTTTCGTTGGGTGACCTTTTCTTGGTCAGATTTCAAGACTGGGCACTTTCTCTGACTCAGACACATTGGGTCATTTAGATTTCTGGATTTTGGATTCAAAATGTTCCCTCAGTTGCTTCTATTTGTTGAGTGCCATTTAATATGATTAACTCCATTTTTTGTTGGGTTTGTTCTGTCATTATGAACCATGGCATCACATTACCTTTGTTCCCCAGTGCTGTGAGGTATTGTGGTAAGTCTTCATTTGTCCTTGATCTGGCTGATGGCTCAGTGGGTAAAGTGCCACAGAAGCGCAAGGACCTGGGGCAGGACATCCAGAATCCAAGTAAAGCTGAATGTGCTATTGTGGGCCTGTAATTCCAGTGGATCTAGGGTGAGATGGGAGGAGGAGGCAGGATGTCCTAGAGGCTTCTGGGCCAGCCAATCAGGTGTGCTCAATACTGAATAAGAGACCCTATCTCAATCAAGGTGGAAACTGAAGTATGACATCCACATAGCTGCTGTAGTATGTATTTACTGACTCTGCACACACACGTGCACACATACGCTCGAATGCAAATATTTTAAAAAGAAAAACTTTTATCCATTGTTAAGCCATGCCATGTTTAGTATATTTACTATAGTATGATGAAGTAGAGACCCTAACTGCCTTCCTTTTAGAGGAGAGTTATTAAAGATGTAGGGGGAAAAATCATCTATTCTCGAGTCGAGAAGTTGCAGAGTTACTTTTGTAAAAATGCTTTCACAGTTTAGTTATTTCTGTAACTATAATTTTGCTATTGAATTAAGGGGTACACCCCTTTCATCTTGGCACGTGCGCACGCGCGCGCGCACACACACACACACACACACACACACACACACACACATCCCACAGACCTTCATTTTGTGGCTGGAACTACCTGAGTGACAGTCATCCAGAGTGAGACAGGGAGCACTGCCCACTTCACTGTGCCCACACACTTCACCAGGTGACCGCTGGTCAAGCAGTAGATCCGTACTA